CCCCTGGTGTCACCTGGTGTCCCCAGGAGGAAGCTGGTGCAGCTGCAGGTGGCCTACCACCACCTCTTCCAGGAGTACGACGCCCACATCAAGGCCAGCCTGGAGGGGGACAAGAGGGGACAGGTTGGGGACATCTCTCCTGGGGTGGCACCTCGGGGACCTCTGGGCCATCAAGGGGCTTCTGGGAAGGGAGGGGGTGGCGCTTGGGGACCTTGGGGACATCATGGTGAACCTTGGGGACCTTGGGATGGCCCTTGGGGTGGCACTTGGGGACACCAGGGTGAACCTTGGGGACCTTGGGGTGGCCCTTGGGGACCTTGGGGACATCATGGTGACCCTTGGGGACCTTGGGGTGGCCCTTGGGGACATTGGGGTGGCCCTTGGGGACACCGGGGTGGCCCTTGGGGACTCTTGGGGACATCATGGTGAACCTTGGGGACCTTGGGGTGGCCCTTGGGGACCTTGGGGACACCAGGGTGACCCTTGGGGACCTTGGGATGGCCCTTGGGGATCCTGGGGTGGCTCTTTGTCCCCTTGGGGACACCAGGGTGGTACTTGGGGACACTGAGGTGGCTCCTTGTCTCCTTGGGGACACCAGGATGACCCTTGGGCACCCTGAGGTGAACCGTGGGGACCTTGGGGTGGCTCCTTGTCCCCTTGGTGACACCAGGGTGGTCCTTGGGTGACTCCTTGTCCCCTTGGGGACACCATGGTAGCCCTTGGGGTCAACAGGATGACCCTTGGGGACCCTGAGGTGACTCCTTGTCCCCTTGGGCACCCTGAGGTGAACCTTGGGGACCTTGGGGTGGCTCCTTGTCCCGTTGGGGACACCAGAGTGACCCTTGGGGACCTTGAGGTGGCTCCTTGTCCCCTTGGTGACACCAGGGTGGCCCTTGGGGACCCTGAGGTGACTCCTTGTCCCCTTGGGCACCCTGAGGTGAACCTTGGAGACCTTGGGGTGGCTCCTCATCCCCTTGGGGACACCAGGGTGACCCTTAGGGACCCTGGGGTGGCTCCTTGTCCCCTTGGGTGGCTCCTTGTCCCCTTGGGGACACCAGGATGACCCTTGGTGACACTGAAGTGACCCTTGGGGACCCTGGAGTGACCCTTGGGTGGCTCCTTGTCCTCTTGGGGACCTTGGGGTGGCTTCTTGTCCCCTTGGAGACACCAGGATGACCCTTGGGGACACCAGGATGACTCTCGGGGACCCTGAGGTGACCCTTAGGCACCCTGGGGTGGCTTCTTCTCCCCTTGGTGACACCAGGGTGGCACTTGGGGACCTTGGAGTGGCTCCTTGTCCCCTTGGAGACACCAGGGTGACCCTTGGGGACCTTGGAGTGGCTCCTTGTCCCCTTGGGGACACCAGGATGACTCTTGGGGACTCTGGGGTGGCTCCTTGTCCCCTTGGGGACACCAGGGTGGCCCTTGGGGACCCTGAGGTGACCCTTGGGGACCTTGGGGTGGCTCCTTGTCCCCTTGGGGACATCAGGGTGGCCCTTGGGGACCCTGGAGTGACCCTTGGGTGGTTCCTTGTCCCCTTGGGGACACCACGGTGGCACTTGGGGACACCAGGATGACCCTTGGGGACCTTGGGGTGGCTCCTTATCCCCCTGGGGACACCAGAGTGACACTTGGGGACCCTGGAGTGACCCTTGGGTGACTCCTTGTCCCCTTGGGGACCCTGAGGTGAACCGTGGGGATCCTGGGGTGGCTCCTTGTCCCCTTGGGGACACCAGGGTGGCCCTTGGGGACCCTGGAGTGACCCTTGGGTGACTCCTTGTCCCCTTGGGGACCCTGAGGTGAACCGTGGGGATCCTGGGGTGGCTCCTTGTCCCCTTGGGGACACCAGGGTGGCCCTTGGGGACCCTGGAGTGACCCTTGGGTGACTCCTTGTCCCCTTGGGGACCCTGAGGTGAACCGTGGGGATCCTGGGGTGGCTCCTTGTCCCCTTGGGGACACCAGGGTGGCCCTTGGGGACCCTGGAGTGACCCTTGGGTGACTCCTTGTCCCCTTGGGGACCCTGAGGTGAACCGTGGGGATCCTGGGGTGGCTCCTTGTCCCCTTGGGGACACCAGGGTGGCCCTTGGGGACCCTGGAGTGACCCTTGGGTGACTCCTTGTCCCCTTGGGGACCCTGAGGTGAACCGTGGGGATCCTGGGGTGGCTCCTTGTCCCCTTGGGGACACCAGGGTGGCCCTTGGGGACCCTGGAGTGACCCTTGGGTGACTCCTTGTCCCCTTGGGGACCCTGAGGTGAACCGTGGGGATCCTGGGGTGGCTCCTTGTCCCCTTGGGGACACCAGGATGACCCTTGGGTGACTCCTTGTCCCCTTAGGGACCCTGGGGTGGCTTCTTCGCAGGATGACCCTTGGGTGACTCCTTGTCCCCCTGGGGACACCAGAGTGACCCTTGGGGACCTTGAGGTGGTTCCTTGTCCCCTTGGGGACACCAGGGTGACCCTTGGGGACCTTGGGGTGGCTCCTTGTCCCCTTAGGTGGCTCCTTGTCCCCTTGGGGCCACCAGGGTGGCACTTGGGGACACCAGGGTGAACCTTGGGGACCTCGAGGTGGCTCCTCATCCCCTGGGGGACACCATGGTGACCCTTGGGGCCACCATCACACCTCCTTCCCCCCTTCCCCTCCCTCCGTGTCCCATTGGGGGTGGGTTGGGGGTGTCCCCCCGTTCCCTGTGGGGGGTGGGTGACGGAGGGGGAGGTGACACGAGGTGACACGAGGTGACACGAGGTGACATGGTGACACGGTGGCAGCTGGCGGAGGCGCGGGGGCGGCTGCGTGCGGCGGAGGAGGCGCTGGCGGCCAAACAGGAGCTCATCGACCGCCTCAAGGCGGAGGCCGAGGAGCATCGGGCCACCCTGGAGACCATCCCCGTGCTGCAGGCCCAGGTTTGGGGGAGGTGACACAAAAAGGGGGACAGGGTGGTGGCCCTTTGTCACCTTACCTTGTCATCGTCACCGCTGTCCCCTCCCCAGGCCGACATCTACAAGGCGGATTTCGCGGCCGAAAGGGCGGCCCGGGAGCAGCTTCACGCCCAGCGCGAGGCCCTGCAGGAGGCCCTGGACCAGCTCCGGCTGCAGCTGGAGGCTGAGGGGGCCGCCAGGTGAAGGGGGGACGCCCCCAAAAATCCCCCTGAACCCCCAAATCCCACCCCCGGATCCTCAAAGCCCACCCCGAACCCCCAAACCCTCTGGGTTCTCCCCA